TTGGCAAGTAGGTGTATGTGAACTAATTAGCATGGGTGAGTCTTCTTGGCAAATTCAAGTTCATCAACATCCATCATAAGTAGAATTTCAAAGTGTATAGGAAATTTAAGGTGCTATTAGTTGTTGAAATTTTTGGTCAATTATGCTTTTTTCTTGAATTGCTCGCTGTACATGCCGCAAATGGTTGGATCACTGTACTAAACACCTGTTGCTACACTCCCATTTTTCTCTCCCCACTCTGCTGTTGTAGCATTCTGTAAAGGAATACTAAAGCATGCTACTGCATGGGTGGCACTGAGAGAAGATGGAGCAGCATACGAAGTTGCACTAACACTTGAGGAAGTGAGAGAAAGGATGTGATCTATGTTGTCACTCACGGATGTTAGACGTTTTCCAATCCCCAAGAATCCTTATGCTGTTATCTTTGTTGTAGCCACTGTAAAGTCACACATCTAAATTATAGATGGGAAAACAATGCGTGTAATCATAATGCCTTTTTCTAACTTTCATCTTATATTTGTATTCCTTCCAAAACTCAGCCTACACAATTTGTTCTTTCTTTAAGCTTTTTTAACTGATTAAGACTATAGCTTTAAATGGTATTCATTTTCAATTCAATTTTATTAAGGGTCTGTTTGGTTTGTAGTTGGAATTGAAATTAGAATTGGAATCAAAATCTTCTTTAATCGGAATTGGAATGATCCATTCCCATAGTCTGTTTGGTTCAGATAGGAATGAGAATAAAAATTAAAATCAGTAGGAATAGAATTTCATTCCCAAGGGAAAGGTAGGGAATGATCATTCCCTCAAATGGGAGAATGCCACTTCAGCAAGAATGAGAATAAAATTCCGATTCTTCCCAACCAAACAGTTGGAATCGGAATAACCCATTCTGATTCTGATTCCAAACCCTATTCCCACGAACCAAATGGGGCCTAAGATGAACCAAGTTTGATTTGTTTACAATTGAATCAAATATGGTATAACCCAATCCAATCTACTAATATGCAAGCTTTTAAATGTTGATATATCCAAGCTTATTTGTTTAAGTAGTCCGTTGTTTACAATTTTTTCTTACCACATTTCTGATTTTGGCATCTTTTAGACAGCTTCAAAGAGCTTGGTTGGGTTCAGAAGTGAGATGGGTGACAGGAGGTCTTGTGTCATTCTTCATCCTCCACAATTATGAATTTCGCAGATCTGTATTTATGGGTTCAGGCTACATTTGGCATTGTTTAACCTATCTCCTTCTTGCAGTTGAAAATTTTTCATAGAGCATTTTAACTACAAAAGGTAAATAAGTCCATAAAATAAAATATAACTTAATAGGTTGGCAACTTGGCATGGAAGGAACCAAGGAGTCTCCCTTGTAACAAAAGCGCCCATGAACTTGTATTTATCATCATGAGCAATTGATTGGTGTTATTTGGCATGTCTTTTTTTAAAAATCTTTCATTAAACTTGATAACGAAAAGACGATATGAATTTTTGTATTAAGATCTTAACATCTTAAAGACCGTTTGGTTAAGGTTGTCTTTCTGTACATTTTCTTTATAAAGATATAATAAAAAAATCGAAAAGATCCATTTGGAGTTTCTCGAAAATGGATTCTCCCTTGTAACAAAATCGCCCATGAACTTATATTTATCATCATGAGCAATTGATTGGTGTTATTTGGCATATCTTTTTTGAAAGATCTTTCGGCAGATTTGACAACCAAAAGACGATATAAATTTTTGTATTAAGATCTTAACATCTTGAAGACTGTTTGGTTAAGGCATGTCTTTCCGCATATTTTTTTTTTGCAAAGACATGATGAAAAAATTGAAAAGCTCCATTTGGAGTGAAGGGATGAGAGATCCATCATATGGATGGCCGAACCCTGTAGGAAGGTAGGGCAAAATTTCAAAAATTTCTCTCTCTCCCATCTGGGAATCACATTCCCTCTTTTAGAAAAAATGCATTTTTCAATGATCAATCTTGAACCAAGAACCGAACCAGATCTGAACCAAAATAGTAGGAGAGAGATATACCTGATACGAAGAAACAGTATCCTCCAATGAAGGTGTTCACGCCCAAAGAAGTCTCCAAAGACTGCTTCCACTGAAGATGACACAGTGTAGGGTGGAGCGGAATCAACAGTGTTCTTCCTAAGAACCGAATCCTTCAACAAGAATTCAATGGAGGCAGTGAGCACGATTTCAGATCAGCCTTTCTCCAAGGACTGATATCAAGAACTATTCTTGATCGCTCCTACAAAACTGGAGATCGGACTGGCAATGGCAGCGGCAAGAGGATGACGCAGGGAGAAGATGGCACAGTCACACTGTTGCTGTCTTCTCTCTAGGTGATATGATATCTTATCTCTGGGATGCTTTGGGATGGGCTGAATGGTTCGCCCCCTCCTCCTTTTATAGACTTAAAGAGATCAACTCCTAATCCCATTAGGAGTTTCCTGATTCAAATCCTTATTTGAATATGGACTCTCTTTAAGTGATAAGGATAAATCCTTATCTTATCTGCAGATTAGATCAGCTCTCTCCTAATCTCATTGGGAGGTTTCCAGATCCAAATTCAGATATAGACTTTCTGAGTGGATAGGGATAACTCCCGATCCTATCTGCTGATCCAATCCCAGATCCGCCCCTCTCTTTAATTAGTCTAACTAAACCGGTTCGAAATGGGCTTTAAGCCCAATAAGTCTATGTGCTCATTAACCTTCCAAACTGCTGCCCAGTTGGGCTTCTTTGTATGGCGTGGGACCCAAACATTGATCTACACATTAGCCACATGGGTTCAGCCCAACCTCTGTTACAAGGCCTGGCCGAATTCACTGAAAAGATAGTGAACCCCCTAAAGCCCGTCACATAGGCTCCTAATGGGCCCAACACTTACACTAAGTGGTCCCTAGACCAAGCCACCTTATAAAAACCCAGGGACTGTGGGCAGATGCAAGATTAGCCCATCAGGTATTACCCTTAATGGTCTTACACTTAACCTCTCAGCCCATAATGATCAAACATTGCCTGATAAGAGAGGACCTCTCCCTCGGCTACAAGGAACAGTGCTGCACTCTCTACTCACATGGATCCCGGGAATTAAAACCTTTTACAAACATTTTGAAACCATAATATATATATATATATGTATATCTTTATATAAATATATTTTGCAAAACAAATTTCAACGATTGAAATCGGCTGCCGGCAGTCTTGGTTTCCATCAGAGAAAGTGCATCCCCGATCATTACCTTTGTCTGACAAAGGGGTTGATCCTGTCACTATGATCACCTACTCAGATGAATTCTGGGATTGTCCCAACATACCCAGGTTTTGGCCCCCGTTAAGGATCTCATTGATTGGCATATCAAAGACAGCCCAATCCGACACGTAGTGCAGTATCATAATCGAGTCTACTGGTCAGGTGTAACTTTTCAGTTTTTCCCACTAATCACCGAGTTCTAGGGCAATATTGGAAATCTGGTCCGGTTCAGGGTTTCAAGTAAACATACACTGCATGTACCTTGGGTCTCACCCTGGCAGCTGAGACATGCCACCCCAATACTTGGTGGCACATCAGTGTTAGGCTTAGCAGGATAAATCTCCACAGACTTATCCAACGGTTGTGAACATTCTAAACTAACACGAGTCTCATAAGTGTCCAGTTTAAGGGTATTACACAGAAACACACCACTATAACATGAATTAAATATGTATTTTATTAATTTATAATAAATGTCATAATGTACATCAATTTGATTGGAGCTAAGGGCATACACTGTCTAACATGGAGTTTCTCGAAAATATCCCAAAATGGATTTCACGCATCGTTTTAGGAAAACATCCTTTGATAATTATGTCTTTTTCCAACCAAACAGAAAAATACCAAAACATGGGCTATTGGACTTCTAAACAACCAGCGGCCCACGCAGAAAGACGTGCCAAATTAGGTGCTCTATTCAGATTTGATTATTGAAACTTCAAATCCTAATCTGCCCTATCATCCGAGTTCAATCTACTCCTTTGGTTTAGTATAAGGTAAATGATGATGAACATTGTCTTTTTTGAAAAAGTAGTTCGACATTTATAAAAATTTTAAATTGCACATGTCATTCATACAATATTCCACGAATTCAGGTATTATGATTACACGTTTTGAAGTTTGGGTATTAGAATAAAATTAGTAGAGTAGAAGGTAACTATTATACAATTTACCCTAATGCTCAGTTTGGAAGGAGTACAAATAGTGCCAAACCTTGTCTTTTGTATTATTATGTATATGTTTGTATTGGACATATTTGTATCTGTTATCTTTTCAAATTGAGCCTAATGTTGTATTTGATTGCAATGCAAATAAATTTATAAAACCATAGAAGTGCAAATGATTTGACTGTAAATTCTGACTAGAGATGTCCATGGGCCGGGTTTGGGCTTGGCTTTTGTCAAATTTTAATAGGTTCGGCTAAAAGCCCAAGCCCGATATAGTGTAAAGTTGGGCCCAAAGCCCGGCCCATGAACAGGTCTAATTCTAACCTATTTTTGTTTCAAATTTTAATTTATTTTATTTAATTGCAGTACAAATAAAGTTAATTAAGACATAAAGCAGAATAAAATAAAATCCAAAACAAAATTAAGCAAGAAATTACATTTTTTACATTTGCACTCCCATGCATTTGTAATACACTGCAAGTCTAAAACCAAACACAGCCAAAACAAAAAAAAAATGACTGTATTGGGACTGTGAAAAGCAGTCCCCAGCTGCTGCGCTTTCTTTCCGGCACTTGGTCAGTTGGTCTACCAAGCAATCAACGTGTGACAAGGAGGTTCAGGGCCATCAATCTCATTCAAATGCGTCAACTAATCGAACGGATAAAACTTATAGATGGATGGCCTATCAAAGAAAATTATAGATAAGATGGGACCAGATGCCAGATAACACGCGCCCTCTTGTAATAGAGAAACTAATTAACTATTGACTTATTGAGCACTTAAATACTGCCTTCTTTCTTCTCTCCTTCCCTCCCCGTGCTTCCTCTGCTTTACTAAGTTCGGTTCCGATGGCGTTTATCGCTGTTTTCGTTTCTGCGACGAAGCTCGCCGGATTATTGTTCACATTCACTGTCGCTGCGAACGCTTTCTCCTATTCACGGTATCGGAGGAAAAATTTAAGACCGTTCAAGTCACCTCTCGATGAATCGTCTGACGTTCTTGCCGATTTCAATGTTAATCCGAGCAACGGTAACTGAAGGCTTAAACTAATTTCCATTTCAATTAAGTAGAGAAAAAGTGTCTTCATTTCTGTTTTGGATGAAAATTTTTGGAACTATTAGTATTGATTATTTGGGTTTTCATCTTGCCAAGTATGTGTTAATTTCTCGGGAAGCCTGAGTTGAACTTGGATTCTTGCTTTTTATCGATATCTTTTCCTCATTTTGAGACTCATTTTATTTCTATTTTGGTTGTTCTTAGGAGGTGAGGTAGCTTTATAATTGTTCAGAGCAGTTCTTCCGCAACTGAAAATGAAATATTGGAATTTCGAAATCTCTCCCACAGTCGGTTTAAAACTTAGACAGGTAGGATAAATTTTGGGAATGACTTTAGTATGTAGAATTGCTTAAGGACTAAGGAACTAAAACCTCGAATTATATTCTAGAAAGAAAACTGAATCTCCATAGATAAACTTGTACTTGCTACTTTGTTCATGTATGCAGCCTAGTGCTCCAACCTGATTTGACAGGACTGTAAGTAGAAAATGCAAGAATTACCAAAACCCAAAACCTGGTAATCCATTTGGCCGTTGTAGACATTTATGACTTGCGGTTCCCTTTTTCTGAACTTTGTCTTGAATATAGAATCTTTTCTTCGTAGACTGTATCTCGGATGTTGACTTGGTGGAGAATTTGGGTTTGAACAAGGACCAAGAGCACTAATTGTTCCTCTGTTTTCACATAATTTGTGACAAATCTATTGTCTGAATCTTTGTAGAGGACGAAAATGAGTTCTTCTTTGGATTGGCGACGGCACCAGCTCATGTTGAGGATAGGCTAAATGATGCTTGGTTGCAGTTCGCAGAGGGCCACCCCCATGACAAGTTGGAACCTACACATAAACTGCAACTAGCAGACGGATTAATGGCTTCTGCTACTGCTGATGGCAGCTCTCAGCAAGCATCATCATCTGTGAAGGAGTCTGAAGGGTTAAATAAGAAGAAGAAACTTCTTAAGATAGCCATGGAGGCAATGATCAGAGGATATGAAAAGTACTCAGAAGATGAAGAACTTGAAACAAGCACTGAGTGCAGCCATAATGTTGCAGCTTGGCACAATGTGCCCCACCCGTAAGCCTGATTAATATTTTGGAAGGGTTTAGATTAGTTATCTTCTGGTGCAACATTGAGGTTCCTAATTAATTGAAGTTGCAATTTATGGAATTCATGGATTTCAAACTTTTTATTACTAGAGCAATTATAGTTCCTAATTTGAAGTGGGGACAAGAGAACATATTGAGTTGGTTCTTTACTTGATTTCAGGGAGGAGAGACTGAGGTTTTGGTCTGATCCTGATGTTGAATTAAATCTAGCTAGAGATACTGGTGTCAGTGTTTTTCGGATGGGAATAGATTGGACTAGGATCATGCCTGAAGAGCCAGTAAATGGGCTTAAAGAAAGTGTAAGTTTTCTTTTTTTTCTTAATTTTTCTTATTTAAATGTTTGTATGTGCCATTTGTGCAATTTGATTTCTAGAAAAATGATGATATTGGATTTTCACTTTTCAGATAGGGTTTGTCCTAATGCTATTCTTTACATGGTAGCCATCTTTGCAACTTTGTCCATATGATGAACTTTTTGTTCTACATTAATAGTTGAATATGGATTTCCCTTATCTGCACTACGTTTTGCTATAGGTTAACTATGCTGCACTTGAGCGATATAAATGGATCATTCAGAGGATTCGTTCCCGTGGAATGAAGGTTATGCTGACTTTGTTCCATCACTCACTACCACCATGGGCTGGAGAATATGGGGGATGGAAGATAGAAAAAACTGTTAATTATTTCATGGATTTTACAAGGTTTTGTTGCTTCCCCTAATGAACTCTTTTTTGTTAATTTCACATTTTATGTAGGTTATTGCAATATTGCATCATCTTTCTTGACCATCTGTTGTGTTTTAAAAAATAAGCAGTACATCTAGACATGTTAAAGAGCATGTTGATGCATTGTCTTAGCAATAGCTATCCTTTCATTACACTTTCCCCAAATCAACTGGAATGATTTTTGCCAGCCAGGGTTTGATATGGGGAAATTGGAGCAAGAGAATGAATTCAAGATACTTATCAGAGATTGCTTGATTGACCTGATGCAGACTTCATCCTCAAAATGGTTAGTTAGCTTCATTTTTGTGGAATTTCCATGGAGAACCTATGCTAAACACATTTTGGGCCACCAAACTCTTCTTCTTGGCATCCAGCACATGAATGATTAAGTATAAGGAGGGCTCTTTGCAACTAATCAAGTTCTTTCCAATATTCTAATCGTATAGGTCCTTATCGGTTATTCTTAATCAACTTGGCCAAGTTAATTCAACTTGACATAGCTTTTAAGTCTTTGCCTTAAAATATTTCCAAGTTTAGTAAAAGGGAGAGTAAGGACAAGAGTGAGTGAATGAATCTTACACGGTACTTTAATATCTCCAAAGAAACATGAAAATGGAAGGAAGGTCCCATTCTGATTGTGTACTCTCATTCTTGAATTTCAGTTTTGTCTTTCTGTAACAGCCTAGTAGGTGACAGCAGTTCCCCCTTCCCCTACAGAGCCCGTTTGGAAAAATATGGCACCCTGTAAGGTTGACTTTTTTGTATAGCTGGCTGCGCTGGACAAGTGCCCATCTAAGGTGAATCTTCCTAGGAGAGGGACTGCCCTGGATAGTACCCTGTGCCCTTTTGTGAGCAGTGGTCTGAAAGTTCCAACCTTTACTGCATCATTACTAGGAGAGTTTGGCAGCATTACTTGCATAGTATACATCTCGTAGAATGTCAGATGGAGTCTGTGATGGAGTTGCTCAATGGGTGGAGTTTAAGGGCCTGTTCGTTTCCTCTTAACTCTTATCAATTAATAGGAATCTTTTAACTTTAAGAGAAAAATGGTTGTTCGTTTCCTCTTATCTCTTATCTCTTAAAGTGCAGTCGTACAACTTTTTTATTTTCCAATGATACCCCCAAAAAGACAAACAAAAACTCTCATATATGGGGTCAAAATGGATATTTTGATAATTTTCAGAATTCAGAATTCAGAACATCATTCTCTACATTCAGAGTTCAGAGGAAAGAAAAGTTCACCAATACCAATGTACCTCTTAATGTAATTATTGCACTTTCAGATGTCAGATTTCAGAGCAAACGAACATGCCCTAAATGACATGAGTAGAAGAGGCAAATTATGTTTGTCTGTGGCTCCTTTAGCTGTCATTTGGGCTGTTTGGTTGGAAAGGAACAGCAGGGTGTTTCAGTGTAAGGAACACCCTGTTGAATATGTTATTAATTCCTCTTTTGATTTTATTGGGGCTTGGTTGAAAAGTGATAGCTTAATTTGTGGGTAATTCCAGCCATTTGTTTTTGGTTGTGGACTTTCTTTGGGAATTCTTAGCTGCCCTGGGGCTTTCTGTACTGAATCTCATTGTAAAAGAGGCTGTAAATAATTTTTTTGTTAGTGAATATAATCATCATCATCATCAATGCCTTATCCCAACTATATGGGGTCGGTTACATGAATCCTGTTTCGCCAATCTGTTCTATTTAAAGCCATATCCATTATTAAATTACTAGTGCTTAAATCATTTTTTACTACTTCTACCCATGTCCTTTTTTCGTCTACCTCGAGCTCTTCTAGCCTCTTCAATGTGTAGCAAATCGCTTCTTTTAACTAACGCAGTTGGTGGTCTTCTATGTGTGTGCCCAAATAATCTTAGTCTACACACACACACACACTCCCTCTCTCTCTCATTTTATTACCTATTGGAGCTACACTCCTAGGTTGCTACGGATAACCTCATTCCTGGTCTTACCCTTTCTACCTTTTCCACTCATTTATTTTAGCATTCACATTTTTGCCACATTCATTTTCTGAACATATTTCTGGACTACTCAACTCTCTACTCCATACAGAATAGCTGGCCTTACAACTGTTTTATAGAATTTTCCTTTTAATCTAAGTGGTATTCGCCTACCACATAAAAGTCCATGTGCACCCCTCCCTTTTGCCCATCCTGCTCTAATACTTTGGGTGGCATCCTCCTCAATCTCTCCCTTGTTATGAATTATTGAATCAAGGTACTGGAAGTGGTCACATTGAGTTATCTCTTGGTCTCCAATCCTAAACATATCTTGATTTATACTCCTATTATTACTAAATTTACATGTCATATACTCTTTTTTTTTTATCATTGAATGGTAAGATTTATTAAATCATAGCCAAAGAGAGTACAATTTAGGGAGGCACGAGATGTCATGTACTCTGTTTTGGTCCTACTTATTTTAAAACCTCTTGTTTCAAATGCATTTGCCCATAAGCTTAAGTTTGCATTTAATCCTTCATTAGTTTCATCAATTAAAGCAATGTCATCGGCAAACAACATGCATTGTGGAACTTCCTCCTCAATACGTTTAGTCAATTCATTTATGATTAGTGCAAATAATAAGGGCTAAGTGCTGAACCTTGGTGAAGACCCATAGTAACTGTAAAATTTGAAGTCTCTCCCACTGGTTTTCTAACATTGGTTGTTGCCCCCTCATACATATCCTTAATTAGGTCTATATATCTATTTTGAACCCCTTTCTTTTCTAAGACCCACCATATTATCTCTCTAGGAACTCTATACTACTTTACCTTTTTTTTGATAGATTTATACTACTTTACCTTTCCAAAAAAATGTTTTTTGCTTATCACTTATTCCTTTATTGTAATTAATTTGTGGTCAGTTATGTGAACTCATCAAATTTTAATGCTTTTGCTTTGTGCAGACTTGTTGTTGACAGTGTGTCAGAGCTGGTTGACTACTGGATAACTTTTAATGAGCCTCATGTCTTTTGCATGCTGACTTATTGTGCTGGGGCTTGGCCTGGTGGTAATCCTGATATGCTAGAGGTTGCAACTTCTGCTCTGCCAACTGGTGTCTTTAAACAAGCAATGGACTGGATGGCTGTTGCGCATGCAAAGGCCTATGATTATATCCAGAGACAAAGGTTTTTCCTTTCTGCATGTGGATCATTTTTTACTTTTTTGAATATAAACTATATTTCTTAAAAAAAGGAATTATGTCAAAGTTTAAATTAACTAAAGAGGCACTGGAAGGGGGGGGGGGGAGTAATTCTAAGTTGTTCTATTTCTTTGCAAGGAAAGGTATGATAAGACATCTTTTATCCCCTTTTCTTTATCAACTCTAAGTTGTCCAACGATTGCAATGGGAAGGCACACAAATTTTCCACTGAAGATCTCCTAGAATAGGAGCCCCTCAAATAGTGGGCCATCTATAATCCACATTCATAACAGTCAGCTTATATTTCATGTTAAAGTATTCTACATCCTTCCACTGTTCAGCTAATAGGTCATATTTACTGAAACATTTCTTCTATTGGCAGCAAAGCCTCTTCAAAAGTAATTGTTGGAGTAGCACATCATGTCTCATTCATGCGACCATATGGTCTTTTTGACGTCGCTGCTGTTTCAATAGCAAACTCCTTGACCCTTTTTCCATTCATCGATAGTATCTGTGACAAGCTGGATTTCATAGGCATAAACTACTATGGACAGGTTTCACTTCTCCCACTTAAAAACAATTGTTATCAAAATGTTTCCTGTATTTATACAGACTTGGTTCAAACTCCTGATGTAGTGTTTTCCTGGCAGGAAGTGGTTTGTGGTGCTGGGCTAAAACTTGTAGAGAATGATGAATATAGTGAATCTGGACGCGGTGTCTACCCTGATGGCTTGTTTAGGATGCTTCTTCAGTTTCATGAGAGATACAAACACCTAAAATTACCTTTCATCATAACTGAAAATGGGGTCTCTGATGGGACAGACGTGATCAGAAGGCCTTATATTGTAGAGCATTTGCTGGCTGTATATGCTGCCATGATCATGGTGTCCACTCTGAACTTTTGGATCCTCTGGGAAGTGGATAAATCCTCCTTGTGTACTAACTGGATTCTAAATTACCTCCATTCTTTAGGGTGTTCCAGTGCTTGGTTACCTGTTCTGGACTATTTCAGATAATTGGGAGTGGGCTGATGGATATGGTCCAAAGTTTGGACTAGTAGCAGTTGACCGGGCCAATAATCTTGCACGTATTCCACGCCCTTCATACTATTTGTTTTCTAAGGTAACAATTTCAGTTAAACACGAATGAATTTGTCTTTCTTTCCCTTTTTTATCTATTCTTTTATCATTCTCTCTGTGTTTGCTAATAATTCATGATCTTACTTTCAGGTGGTGACAACGGGTAAAGTTACTAGGCAAGATAGAATGCGTGCATGGAGTGAGCTCCAAAGAGCTGCTAAAGAGAAGAGAACAAGGCCATTTTACCGGAAGGTTGACAAACATAGTCTAATGTACGCAGGTAACATATGAAGCTCAAGTTGCCTTGGTACATTGATTACATGCAATTACCTTTTCTTAGTTTCTAGACTTGAACTAGAATCTAAAGTGAAGATATTCATCTACCATTTCCCATGCTAAATAATAGGTTGCTTTGCAAAGACGAGCATTGGAGCAATACTCATTAAGAAGTCAGAAACATTGTACACAAAGAAATCCATTAAAAAAATCCCAACGTACTGTTGGCTTGTTGAAAGTCTAATCAGCAAAACAATTCAAAAAGCAGGAATGAGAAATTCATGGAAGTAGGATACTGAGTCCATTTAGTGACCGAGGCCTAGGTTCACTATTGTTTTAAATGAAAATGAACCACCATTGAATTTAGTCTACCATAAGAGTTCCCTTTTGTATGGAAGCATGATAGGGGAATTGATAACACCACAAGAAAATAGAAAAAAACAAATTAGATAGAAAATAAATAAATGTTACAAAACACAAGGATTCATGTGGTTCAGCCAGTGTTTTAAAAGTAAGGCGCAATAAAAGCGCAAAGGCCATTTGTGCCTGAGGTGCAAGGCAAGGTGTGCACATTTTTAAAGCAAGGCGCAAAAATGCAAAAAAGAATCTAAAAACTTCCAAAAATGTGTGTAAATTACGTTCTTGCTGTATGGATTCGTACCTTAGGTGCAAAGTGAGGTGCATGCATTTTTCTAGTAACCATATGGATTCATGGTGTACACTTTATTATACAGTTCTTGCTAGCAACCATTCCATAACACGAACCTCCCTGTTTTTCTAGATAATATGTTTATAAATTACGTTGATGTTTGCTTGGATCATCCGCTGGATTTTTCTCCGCATCTACAGCATCTTAGCTGATATTATTTCAATGTATAGAAATTACAGCTTTTAAGTATTTTCTGGTTTCAAAATACCCATTCTTTACCTCTAGTTGAATTTACTCTTCTTTTAATAGGGGGCCTTGATAAACCCATATGGCGACCTTATATCCAACGAGATTGGCGGTTTGGGCATTATGAGATGGATGGTCTACAGGACTCAATGAGCCGGTTATCGAGATTTATTCTCCGACCTTTCTTTCTGAAATGGAGGATAAGACCTGAAGCTAATGATGCTGATTTGGTTCTTCAGCCACTTGAAGTTAGCCTCTGAGACCACATTTATACGTTAAGCTATTTCATCCGAAGCTAAGTCTTCTTCTAAAATTTGTCGGCCATCTGCATTTGTCATTACAGTTTTTATTTTTTCAAGGCTCAATACGTGGTGCCTCAAACGCTAAAAATTTCCTAGTATTGCATGTCCAGAAATATGTTGCTCCTTCTATAGCCCAAAATGGGGATGGAGTGTAATCAAACTTAGCAGCTTATTGTCACTGAGTGGTCATGATTTAGGAACTCATGCAACTCCAATGTATTATGTACCCTCACACTGTTGTATTATTGACAGTCAATTATGGAAGGTATATGAAGAATGAACCATCACACAAAATTTGCATGTGAATGTTGAAGGAGAAGGGGGCTTTAGGTCTGTAAAAATATTGTATAGGGTGCTATTAGCTCACTATACGATCACCATGAAAAGATTCAGCAATTTGGGTTTTAATTATTGGATCCATATTCAGTGTTTAGTCTGATTTTGTACCAGGTTTCCGTATTCGGATTTGGTCCTCACAAAACAGCCCTCACACGTATGGGTGTCAAAGGATTGGTTTTGGGGTAGACCAGTCCAAATCAAAATCAAGTTGGACGGAATGGATGAACCAATAAGATATATTGAATTGGGCCAATCCAGTCCAAAGTATTTATTGAATTGAATTAGACCTGGTCCATCCGTGATGGATTTATTATCGATCAGAGTCCGGATCTCCTGCCCATGAGAACTCTGCCCACATTTATCGCAGTCACATGTAGATCAAATCAATATTTGAAGATAAAAATACGGGTTTCAATGAAACAAGTTTCTATTAGAACCAATCTAAAGTAAAACCAATTTGAACAGATTGAGTGGTCCAGACGTTGAGTTGGATTGATCCAAAATGGTTCAAAAGTATTCATTGGATTGGACCTGATCCATCTATAATGGGCTCATATTGGATTGAATCCACTCCAATTGATAATTCTATACATGCATTGGGAATATATATATATATATATATATATATATCATTACCTCTCTTTGCTTCAAACTCTTTTCTTAATTTTCTGTTTTTTAGAATTTTTTATTTTTTTAATTCTACATAATTATCCATTAAACCAACGAGGAAATCACATATGGTTAACTATTTCTAACAACCATAAAGAAAGAGGGATTTGCTTTTTTAATGTTTAGCCAAGTGGCACCACTTTCCCCGACTTTTTCCTAAATTGTCTCTAATTCCTATTTATCTCTTAAATTATCACTAACTCCTATTTATCTCTTAAATTATCTTTAATTTAGTAGAGAGGTTCTCTTCTAAACTATCTCTAATTCCTATTTATCCTCTCCCCTACTTTTTATCTGTATCTATCTAAAGAAAGTTTCAATTAAAAAAATTTAGAACTATTTAAATGTTATAACAAAATTATATACTAAATTTAAAGTATTTATTCAAAATACAAAAAATTAATAGATTTAATAATATTCATATTATCAATAATTCAATATTTTTACAAAATTCATCATGAAATTATGTAGTAACAATATAAATTATAATTAAATAAAACATTATTTAAATATTTCAATAACTAAAAATCTTAAATAAAAAACATTAAAAATAGCTAAATAATATAACAAAATATTTAATATTACATAATAAAATTAAAATAATGAAAAATTTTAAATATTTTACATATTATTTAAATATTTAAATAACAAAATATTTAACATGACAAAATTTCAAATAGTTAAAATAACGAAATTATATAATAAATTAATAATAATTTAATATTTTACAAAATTAATAAAAAATTATGTAATAATAGTACAATTATAATTTTATGGATTATTAAATTCAATAAATAATTAATATTTTAAGAATTTAAATAACAATATTATTTCAATAACTAAATAATATTGTAAATAACTAATTTCACTTATATCAATCAATAATTATAGAAAATATCTATCAACAAAATTATATTTATTAGTAATAATTTTACAATAATAGTGTATATTCATTATATATTTATATACTATAATTAATATTTATTTTATTTTCAGTAATTATTTATTGTTTTTTATAAATATGCTTTCAATAATTATTTATAAACGTATTTTTATTTTTTATTTAACAAAAAATTATCAATAATTGGTGGAGATTAAACAATTATAATTTAACTTTTGAAATTTAATTTATTGTATTTTTGTTATAAATTTATTTTTAGTAATTATATATTTTTTATAATTTATAGATTAATACTTATTAGGGATTAAACTATTATTTAAGATTATACTATTTATTATATATCTATTATATTTTCATTATAAACTTATTYTCAABGWTTGTGTRYVYTTGCTATAAATTTTCAATAATTATTGGAGATTAAACTATTGTTATTTATTAGAGATTAGACTATAAATTTAGTTGAAATTAGGAGTGTTCAACGATTGGTTCAATTCAGTTGCAGGTTGTTTCACTAACCAAATCGATTTCGTCAAGTCCGTAGTTTGTCACTTGAAACCAATTGACCATTAGCGAAAACCCACTAACTCGGTTTGTATCAATTTGGGTCTATATTCAGTTTAGTTTGTTTGTTCAAAAGATTTAAACTTAAAAATTAACTTTAAATTTCATAAATTACAATTATATTATTAAAAAATAAATTACAAAAATTAAGTCTATGATATAAAATATTTTAGATTAAAAAATATGGGAATTTACCTACTTTCCCATATTAAAAAATTAAATTTAAAATATAAAATATTAATATATATTTATTAAACCAAATTCGATCTGAAATACTAGAAAACCGACTAACTTGGGTTGAGTTTGATCAGATTGTTTATTAAAAAGTTAAAATATAAAACAATTATTTCCTTGCTCCATTATCCCCACCCTGCATTCTCTTTGACCTTTTCTCCTCTCCCCTTCCCACCACTCCCATTAAGCCATGTCACCCAATTACCTAAAAATATTCCTATTATCTCTCTCCTATATAAGGTATCTCATTTAAACCAACAGGAAAGTATCATATTGCCCCACTCCCTAATCATTTCATAAAATGCATCCCCCCCAATCTATATCCACTCTCTCTCATTTAAAATATTCATATTAATTAATAAATAGTTAAATACGGTTAATATTTAATCCCACCCATATTCAATGAGTATTAAATAGTGTTGTTACCAAAAGTTAATAAATACGATTAGTATATTACCAAAAATTAATAAATATTGTTATTAATTAACTCATTAACAACATTTTATAGAAATTTAAAACTCTTTAACTAATTTCTATAAAATTGAGAATTATATTTAACAATTATCAAAAAGTATAAAATTTTAGTTATTGTTATTATTATAAT